AGTATTTGTAAGGTCTACAGTAATCAAACAAATTCATGACAACAAGTGATGTGGTGTGAAAGTGCTCAGTAATGCTGCCCTATTTGTGGTTGTTTCTGAACTGTCTGGTGGGAGGAGGCACTCCTGACAGTATTCATTTTGCAAACATTTATTCCTTGATTGAACCCACTACCACTGTGACCGCTGTCAACCACTGATTCACCAAAAATGGTGGGGTAAATAACTACTTTTTGAGTTGGAGTCTTACTCTGTAGCCCAGGCTGGAGTGCTGTGGCACACTCACGGCCACTTCAGCATCGACCTGCTGGGCTCTGGTGATCCTTCCACCTCAGCCTTCCAAGTAGCCAGAACTACAGGTGTGGCTACCACACCTGGCTAATTTTTGATTTATTGTAGAGACGAGGTCTTGCCAAGTTGGCCGGTCTGGTCTCGAACCCATGGGTTCAGGCATTCTACTCGCCTCGGCCTCCCAAAGTGCTGAGATTACAGGCTGATCCACCGAGCCTGGCCTGTAAATAACTACTTTACTTGTCTTTATTAATCTTCTCTGTATGCATGTAGAGCTCACATTTCAGTGTTTAATATTAGAAGTATTTGGGTCTTTATTTAGAAGTTTGGTGATTTTTTTTTTTGACCAGAGGTATGTTGTTGGAGCTTAACTCTTTGCTTATATCAATTAACCTATGGTAAATTGGTTTCATTATATGTCATTTCACTTAAAGTTGCGATTTTCAAGAACCTATAAACAATGTTATGTTAAGTGAGGACTTAGTGTACAGGATTTTTTGGTTTGTGACAATCTAGTGCTTTTTCAGTTGTAGAGATTCAACATCAGTCCAGAGGTGGCTCATGGTTACTTATTTACTTATTTACTTGTTTATTTATTTAGAGTTGGATTCTTACTCTGTTGCTCAGGCTGGAATGTAGTTGCAGGGTCATAGCTACTGCAGCCTTGAGCTGCTGGGCTTAGGTGATCCTTCCACTTCAGCCTTTCAAGTAGCTTAGACTGGGACTACAGGCATGTGCCACTGAGCCCGGCTTATTTATCTATGTATGTATTATGCATATATGTATTTATTTATTATAGGGAGGAGATCTTGTCACGTTGCCCAGTTGAACTCCTAGGTTTAGGCAATCCTCTCACCTTCAGCCTCCAAAACTGCTGGGGGTTCATGGTCATTTATAAAAAAGAAGGCAAGAAAAAAAAAGAGGCCAACTGTTAAAGAATACTATGACTTGGGCCAACTCTATCATTGTTCCTCTGATCGCCCTGTCCCCTTGGTGCCGCGCCTACTCCACAGCTCTTTCCTGTATCTTGTTCTCAACATACATGCCAAATGGTGAAGACAAATGATGGTGTCAATTAGGGTCTTAACCTGGGGTCATTGGGTCAACAAATCCCATAAAATGGTATGCTAAGTTTGCATGTATTTGCTTTGTTCTGGAGGGAGGTTTCCATAGAGTTCATTAACTTTTCAGGGGTGTCCTCGAGCCTGAAAAAGTTAAAAATGCTGGCTTAAATAGTCACTTCTTTATAGAGTCTTTGCTATTTTCTCTGGCCATTGACATGGTATTTTTTTCTTTTTGGTAACTTTTTGTGCATTTGTGTTGAATTAAAAAACTATAAGGAATCAAATTAACTGCATTCAGATTCTTAATCATCACTCAAACATAACCACTATTTGCATTCTGGGATCTATCTATCTATCCATCCATCTGCACACACACACACATGCGTGTGTACATATGTACATACACAAATTTTAAGGAATCATTCTATACAAATTATTTCTTTTTTGGTTAAATGTAGATTAACAACATTTTTGTTTAATTGATGTAGAGTGGTCCACGATGTTGATATGCTATATTTCACCAATCCCCTATGGATGGATGTAGATATTGTATTTGTATTTTAACAGGAATCAAACATTAGGCAACAAGAGTAGAATAATAGATAGGAACATGGAGTTTTTGTTGGTTCAAGGAAGAGTCTTCTTCCTTTGTCCTACGTTTCAAAACCCCACATTAAATGTTAGGATCTGGTCTTTGGGTCAGAGAACATGTTAGCTTTTCCCAAAACAAGCAGAAGGGAATTGTACTCACATATGCTTCTTAGCTCCCAAAGTGATCTGACAAGTCATTTCAAATCAATAAAGGAAATAATAGTTGTTTTTTTTTTTTTTTTTTAAAATAGGATTGATCCACTTCAAAGCAGCTTCATTTAAATCCATTCTCAGTTTTCAGGGTTCAAATGGGCCTACTTTTGTATAGTTTACCTTATATTTTTAAAAAGTATTTATGAAAATGTGGGAAAAAAATCTGTTTAATTGGTAAAATGCCTGAATCTTGTAGCCTGGGAACTACATGTTTATATTTGCCACATATAAACCTGTGTGATTTCCGTGTGTGTGTGTGTGTGTGTGTGTGTGTGTGTGTGTGTGTGTGTTCGTTCTATATTTTCCTTTACTGTCTTGCTGAAAGAAGTGTTACTGATTGTCTTTCTTTTCTCTTTTATCTGTTTACCAATGACACTACCAGATTAGAGGCTGCACCAGTCAACACCCTTGGGTCCAGGGGTGGTAACTGTTCCCATCTGGCTACATGTGATTAATGGTGTTTATGTCATAGCATAAATCACATTTTGTTGTTCAATCAGCTGAGACTCTGGCCATTAAAAAAATTTACTCTACAAAAATCAATAACCAGTGGTTTTTGGAAAGGAGCAGCTCTTTAACAGTTATTCTCCAAGTCTGTCTGTTAAGATAAATAATCAAATTACCATACTCACTAAAATAGTGCAGACAACAAGAAATATAATCTCACAGATAAAGGATGACCTTAAGTAAGGACAGGTAGGAAGACATTTTAAGGAAGACAGAATGCAACCAAAGAAACCCAATATCCTTCTAAAAGTCTTTAAGAATGTTACCCTTTTACACAGAGCCAGCCAACAGTGAACACTCAGAGTACTCAAGATGAATTTTCAGAACAGTATGGAAAATAAATGAGTTGATAATCATATACTGTGACTGACCTAATGCTATTCCCAACTCTCTGTGGACTGTACAATATAGAAAGTAAATTTTATTTACTATTTATTTGCCTCAAGTTTGCCTAATACCTTTCACTAGGAAAACATACAAAATCTAAATAAGTAAATTGATAGCCAAGATAATGAAAGTTTATGTAGAATAAAATGGAAGGCTGCTTTTTTGGGAAAGAATAGAACTAAGATAAATCTTACAGACCTCACTTTGTGGGAGGTACCATGTAGGTTTTCAAGGATAGTGTTGACCATGTGTGGCCATGTGCCTGCATAGACTGGGATTGGTCAGCGGTCCTGGTTCACTTACTGTTGATTTCACACGCCTTGGATGAGTGCCTTGTGATGTGGCTCCCGCAGCCTGTTGATGCTGCAGTTACCACTGCTTTTGTGGCCTGCCCAGTGTTTTTACTCCAAATCAAGCATGCCTCACTGATTCCTGTCTGCAGCTTGCTTCTTAGGAACCTGTGGCTGCAACTTACATTTCAGGAGTTTGAGTTATACCAGTTTGCATCTTCCCCATGAACTTTAGCAAAGTGGAATTCCTAGTAGGAAAGCGAAGATTTCCCTTGGATATTTTACTTAATTTATAACCCTGTTTGTGGCAGAGATAGTCAGCATTCTTGTTTCCTCTCTAAATCATCACAGACATAACCCAGTAAAGAAGGAAAGAGCAGCCCCCAAAAAGAATAAAATCATGTCCTTTGCAGCAACATGCCTGGAGCTGGAGATCATCATTCTAGGTAAACTGATTCAGAAACAGAAAACCAAATTCTGCATGATCTCACTCATGTGGGAGCTAAATGGTTACAAAGATGGAAATAATAGACACTAAAAAAGGAGGGATGGAAGTAGGGGGATTAGGGTTCAGAAACTACCTATGGTGCACGTTGTTTATTATCTGGGGAGTGGGCTACCTGAGACCCAATTCCCACCACTACACAATATATCTATGTAATGAATATGCATGTGTACACCCTGAACCTAGAATTAAAAAAAAAAAAGAAAAAAAGGAAAGAATAACATCTTGTGCTTTGTCCCTCTATGGAAGATATAACCCTTTAAAAAAATGCAAGACATGAAAATGCAGATTTGCTCCTACTGAATGGAGTGAGGACTAACCTTCAGGCTAAAGCCTTGGAAAAAGCATTATGTTTCCCGTTTCACTGTGTAATGACCTGGAGCCTAGAAGGGCTCTGTTTCCTGTCACTGCACTGTATCATTCTCATTTACGTTATTGGCAGCTGCTACTTTGCTAGAAGTTTAAATTATCTCAAGAACTCTAAACTGAGTTCAGATGTTTGTTTATTGGCGCTGCCTTAGGCTTCTGAAAACAGTCTTTTGTGTTCTCCCAGTCAAGAAAAGGCTCTTCTCAGAATCAACCCTTCCTCCCTCCTTGCTCTTTTCTGGGAACCTGCTTCAGTCTCCTGAAGAAAATTAAATAAAGAGGACAAGGGGCTGCAACCTGGTCAGAAAGGAGTCTCCCGTGGTGAGGCGACTTGAAACGGAAAAGAGTTGGGACCCAACATCCTGCGTTTGTGCTTTGTTTTTGAAACTTCGAATTAGTTGCATTAATGAATTAACCAGCTTCTGGTCATGGAAAATGTTTCTCCTGTCCTGGTGGGGGAGCCAAATACTATAGATTTGTAACAGGAAGGCTGTTGATCCTGGCTTCATTGTTGGGCCAGTCATTCGTGAGCTGGTGGCCGGACCGCAGGCCACACACTTCTTCCCTGCAAATATCCATGTATTGGGACTGCCGGGCATTGTTTCTACTCGTGGAGACTTGGCCAGGAAAAGATGGTGAGCCTCGGGCTTCATTTCTTTTTGGTTTCTGGGTATCCCTCAGCTCTGAGGATGGTGCAGGATGCCAGACCCTGTGGCGGGGGGGGGTTCGATCGATGAGCATCTGTGAGTGTTTTGCTGCTAATGCTTCGTTCCGTGTCATCCTCTGTAGAGTTCCGGGAACGCGTCCTATCGCTGCTCTATGTCTTCCTCTGCGGATTTTTCCGATGAGGATGATTTCAGCCAGAAATCTGGCTCAGCATCCCCAGCTCCGGGAGACACCTTACCCTGGAATTTGCCTAAACATGAGAGATCGAAAAGGAAGATTCAAGGGGGTTCCGTGCTGGACCCTGCTGAGAGGGCTGTGCTTAGGATAGCAGGTAAGAGCTTTGGGGAAGGGGAGAACGGGCTCCAGAGTTGCGGAAATTCACCCATCTGCTCCCTGAAGGCGGTTGGGAGCTGATGCTCTGGGCCAGATCCATGCTCAAGGTGGGGGAGGAGGATGACCGGTGTTTACTTCATGCCTCGTTTTACTGATGGAGCGACTTGCCCTGCCTGCTGTGACTAAGCTGTTTGGCCCTGCCTTCTGGTTGGATGAATCAATTGCTTTGAAATGCAAGGAAATATTTATAGGCATCTGCATTAAACTTTCTGTTTACATGTGGGAGCCACCGCACCATTCTGAAAGTATGAACTCTGGTGATGCCTGAGGTATTTGCTGGAAGCTGCCAGAGAGCAGCCTTCGTTTTCAGTTTTGCCCAGGGTCACTGAGCTACATAGACTGAACTTTCACTGTTTTTGGTACCCAGGGTTGCAGAGCATATTCTGGCAACTTGGATGTCAATTTTTTAAAAACTGTGGCATTTCTGTCTGCATCTTGTGTTATAGGTGCTTTCTGTCCTTAGTGCTTTTGAGGGTTTAGCCATCCTGCATTTCTGATTGATTAATATACAAGAGGTGCCAGTGTTTCTGTTCTGTGTTGCTGGGTGTTCCCTTGCCTTGGCAGTAAAAGCCGAAGCAGAAGTGATGGCTCGTTTTACCCAGCTGAAAGCTGAGAACACTGTGGAAATCTACCCTCCAACCCCACAGTGCCTGTGTGGTTGGTATGTATGTGCTCTGTGCATGAGAGGGGCTTCCAGGGGTTGTCGTTCTCTCATCCCCTCAATATTTGTGTTTCCCTCTTGTTAATGGTAACAGCAGGATGGGATATGTCCTTGGGGATTTTCTTGCAAAGGCCAAAGGCCAGGTGTTTTTTGAGTTGGTGTCTGCAGCCAGCAGTTCAACCTCGTTTCCTCTCCCTCCCCCACTCTTAACTCTGGGGCTCCCTTTCACAGTTTCTTTGGCTTCCCCACTATAATGCACAGTTGGTACTTTCTCTTCCTCCAAGGGGCCTGGAGGGGACCAGTCCACATTCCAACCATCAAGGCTGCTGAGAACCCCCTTGCGTCCCCCCAGTGGGATTTTCTGATTACAGGAAAAACAAACAGCGCCTGGCCAGCCATTCTCCCCTTGTCCAGGTTTCTGGGGCAACAGCCTTGACCTTCTTCTGGCTTCTGTAGTGAGATGCTGGCTGGGCTCACCCCGGCTTTGAAGAGCCAGGGGTAGAGCAAGGAAGGGGAGGAGGAGGGAGGATGGAGACTGTTTGGGAGCCAAGTGAGAGTGAGCTGGGGTGGCCACAGGGAGTCAGGACAGACCAGAAAGTGTTTAGTCACGGAGGCCTGCTTCCTTGCCCTGTTGAGAACCCTCCTGAAGGTGTGAGGCTCATGGGACAGGAGGTGTCACTGCCTTTACCAGACTTTTGACTCAGTAGAAAGAGAAGATGGGTAAAAGGAGGGTGTGTATGAGAAGCTGTTGGGGCCTTGTGGTAAGCCTGGGGCATCAAAACAAGGTGCCTGCTCTGTGCATTTTAATGGAAGACAGAAGGTGCTTCTGGCCTGAGAGTTTTTCTGTTTTATTTTGGTGATGGGGTCTTGTTCTGTTGCCCAGGCTGGAGTGCAATAGCATGTTGATAGCTCACTGTAGCCTCAGCCTCCTGGGCATAAGCAGTCCTCCCTCCTCAGCCACTCAAGTTGCTGCCACCAGACTACAGGTGCCTGCCACCACACCCTGTTATAAAAAATGTTTTTTGGAGAAGGGGGTCTCGTTATGTTTTCTGGGCTGATCTCGAACTCCTGGGCTCAAGCGATCCCCCTGCCGCAACCTCCCTAGCTAAGACTACAAGACACACAACCACCACTGGCTTGATTTTGATAGTGGTGGCAGAGATGGATATTTTGCTCTTGGTAGTGAAGGAAGAAGTTATGAGAGAAGGAAGTGTTTGTCAGGGAGAATGAGATTATACAAGGAGGGACCCCAAAAAACCTGGCATTTATTTCTTTAAAAATTGTGTATTTATTCTTACATTTTTAAACTTTAGTCACCTTCAAGATACTCTCTGTTTGATGCAAAACACCTGTTGAGATGCTTTTCCCACTACTCAAAACAATTTTGATGCCTTTTAGTGCTTCTGCCATTTTATGTTTTACCTTTCCGCATTGGCAAAAGATTTCCCTTTAAGGACTTTTTTCATCAAGGAAAATAAAGTCACTCAGGATGAGATCGGGTGAATAGAGAGGGTGGAGTATGGTGGAGTATGCTGTTTCTGGTCAAAAACTGCTGAACAACTGGGCTCCGTGACTCAGCCCGTAATCCCGCACCTTTGGGAGGCTGAGGTGAGTGGATTGCCTGAGCCCGTGGGTTCGAGACCCGCCTGGGCAGCGAGACGTCATCTCTACAATAAATCAAAAAATCAACTGGGCGTGGTAGCGCACGCCTGTAATTCTGGCTACTCGGAAGGCTGAGGCAGAAGGATCGCTGGAGCCCAGCAGGCGAGGCTGTGGTGGCCGGAAGCGGCCACTACACTCCAGTCTGGGTGACCGAGTGAGACTCCAACTCAAAAAAAAACCCCCAAAACAAAAAAACACTGCTGAACACTCAGCATGGTATGGGCATGTCACTCATAAATCACAAATGGGCAAATACATACATTCACTGAAGCCTAACGCAGCCTCTTGCAACAATGCTAGCTGGTATATTGATGGTGATGAGCTCCTAGAACGCTTACCTACTGGGGGAAACCTGTATGTACTACAAGGCCCCTGCCCTCCAAAAGGTAATTCTTTTTTTTTTTTTTTTTTGCTCCTCCATTGTGTAAGTTGGGAAAAACTCTATGGGACAGGAAGTCATTGAGAAGTCGGTGGTACTAACCATCAGTGTATACTGCAAGTAGGGAAGAAATGGAAGAACTGGACATTCTAACGGGATGCATTGTGCACACAGGTGTTGATGATGTCGATAGACTGTGGACTCCTTGAGGGCAGCGGTCATGTCTTATCCATTGTAAAATATTCACTGAGTATGTGGAGATAGCTTTGAAGTTAGTAGCAGTTGACGCACTTGAGACTTCAAAGTTCCATACTTTAAAAATTACCATGAATTCTTCCAAAACAGGACAAAACAAATGGAAACAACAAACAGTGTGTGATTATGTTCTAAATAAATATTGGCAAATTGGCTGTTTGCTGCACAAGTCATAAACAATAATTGGATATGGAAGATAGACTTGGAGGCTAGTCTAAAAATATGTTTAATTTATAATGTGGCTAAATTATGACTCCGCTGATCACACAGTGTATGAGGGTACAGATTTTTTTGTTGTTGTTTAGTTGGAGTCTCTGTTGCCCAGACTGGAGTGTAGTGGCATACTCATGGCTACCGTAGCCATGACCTGCTGGGCTCAGGTGATCCTTCTACCTCATCCTTCCAAGTAGCTGTAACTACAGGTGCATACTACCACACCTGGCTAATTTTTTGATTTATTGTAGAAGTGAGGATTTTTCAAGTTGCCCAGGCGAGGGTATAGATTATCTAAGGAAATTAGGTGCTATGGATAGTTGGAAAATGTACTATTAAATATCAACTTGTAATTTTCTTACATATTTTCATACTTTTCCTGAAACTTATTCTATCTCTGAAATTCATCCACGGTAAGAGACGGGGTGAGGTTTAGAAATAGTGTGAGGGTGTTGGTGGTGTTCATTACTTAGTAATAAATGAGCTGAAAGTTTCACATTTTTATTTGTTCTTGAGGTCATAAAAATATAATTGATTGTGAAAATGTCTAGATAATAAAAAATACTAGAGGGTCTGTAGGATACCTTCGTTTATTCACATTCAACAAAAGCTTTTCAAGTCCCTGCAATAAATGAAGAATAGCACACAGTTCTGCCATTTTAAAGTCATAGTCTAAAGAGAGGCTGGTGAATGGGCACAAACTTACAGTTAGAAAGAATAAGTTCTAATGTTTGATAGCAGACTAGAGTGACTGTAGTTAAAATATATTCTTTTTTTTTTTTTTTTTTTTTTGAGTTGGAGTCTCACTTTGTCGTCCAGGCTGGAGTGGTGGAATGCTCACAGCCACCCCAGTGTCAGCCTGCTGGGCTCAGGTGATTCTTCTGCCTCAGCCTTCCAAGTAGCCGGAACTACAAGTGCGTGCTACCACGCCCTGTTAATTTTTTTATTTTATTGTAGAGACAAAGTCTCACCATGTTCCCCAGGCTGGTCTTGAATCTGTTGGCTCAGGCAATCCTCTCTCCTCAGCCTCCCAAAATGCTAGGATTATAGGCTTGAGCCACTGCACCCAGCCTAAAATATATTCTGTATTTCAAAAAAGTTAGAAGAAAGAACTTGGAAATGTAACCAAAATATAGAAATGGTGGGTATCCCAAATACCCTGACTTGATCATTATACATTCTATGCATGTAAAAAATACTCATATATATCCCATTAATATGTAAAGTATTATGTGTCAATAAAAGAAAAAAAAATACACTGGGAAAAAAGGTTCTAGTCTAATATGATAAATGGCCGTGTTGCTAGACAATTACAACATGGTGTGAGAGATTAGTTGTAATGACTTTAAGCACCAAAAATTAAAAGAACCTAGAGGAGAGTGTAATTAACTTGGGGGGAGAAAGGAGATATGCGAGGTTCCTGAAAGGTTTATGAGAGGAAGTGCCACTTGAGCTGAGATTTAAAGAGCTTGATGGGATTAGAGTGAAAGGAAGGCCACTTCAGAGGATGGAGACTCCAAGAACAAAGGTAGGAAGATGTGTTTACATGGGAACTGCAAGTAATGTGTGCAGCTATACCTGGGATCTGGAAGGGCATGACAAAAGCTAAAGTTGTCTGTGTGCAACAGGGAGGCGTTGGACTATTTAAGTTGTCAGTGGGGTGAGGGAGGACCGCCAAAAGGTTTTTAAGTAGTACAGTGACATAATTAGCTTTACAGTCATATTGGTGATGGTGTCTGACTTCACATTTTTCTTTTATACCGCTGTATATTTTTTAAAAGGCTTTTGCATTTGTTGTAATTTCATCATATTAAATCTGAGACTATGGTATATATTTACTTCTTTTTTTTT